CATCATTTTTCTGTGTATTGGCTCAATGTGCTATAATACATTCGTTGCGTTATGTTCCACGTAACCATTCGTCCAACCAAGTGTGACTTTCTCAAAGTTTTTTTTCTTCAAAATTGATGAAAACACACGCACGGTATAGTAATGTCTCCCTAACTGACGCTCAGATTGTGCAGAAAAATGGACGGTTTATTGTTATAGTTATAAATTGTCCACAATTATAAAAACGTGCCGCCAAGGCTCGAATAATCGAGTATCTCCACTTCCTAAATTGTCCATTTTTAGAGCACAATCCGAGCGTCAATTAGAGAGACATTACTGTACAGTAATGTCTCCCTTACTGATGCTCGGATTGTGCTCAAAAAATGGACAATTTGGGGAAGAGGAGATGCGATTATTCGAGCCTCGCGGTTTATTGTTGTAGTTATAAATTGTCCACAATTATAAAAACGAGCTGCCAAGGCTCGAATAATCGAGTATTTTCTTTTCCCAAATTATCCATTTTAGTGGACAATCTGAGCGTCAGTAAGGGAGACATTACTGTACAGTATAATGTCTCTCTAATTGACGCTCAGATTGTGCTCTAGAAATGGACAATTTGGGAAGAGGAGATACGATTATTCGAGCCTTGCGGTTTATTGTTATTGTTAGCTTCTTGGGCTCGATGAAAAGCGAAGAAGAGAAAGTGTCGAAAATGTTGCTTTTTATCTCCTGGATATTCCTTTTCTAAGCCTCAAAAGTAATGAAAAATTAAATTATTCGAAAAGACGATTAGCACAGTTTTGTAGAGCAGAAAGAGAAGCTCCATCGAATAGAATATTATACACTTTGTCGAACAGTAAAAAATCGTTGTAAAATAAAAGAAAATATAAAAACGCTACGAATTTATTCCCCAACGTAATAGTTATAAATTGTCCACAATTGTAAAAACGAGCCGCAAGGGGCTCGAATAATATATATAATATATATAATATAATATAATATATTTAATATAATATAATATATATAATATGATATAATATATTATGTATCTCCTTTTCCCAAATTGTCCATTTTAGTGGACAATCTGAGCGTCAATTAGAGAGACATTACTGTAGTTTGTAATGCAGATACCGTATTATTAAAGCGTAGCTGATTAACGAGAGCTAATTGGCCACAGAAAATAAACGTCTATTCGTGCATTGCCCATTGTGTACCGTAAAATTCCATTGACTCTTGAGAACGGAATCTCGATCGCAAAAATCATTTTATTTCACATCGGTTATTTACACAGTCGGCCTTATCGAAACGGTATTTGTTGTATCAGCAAAATGTGTATACGCGTACTTGACTCGAGTCAAGTGTCGGATAAAATAATTTTATTTTCTGCTTTCGATTTTTAATGCTTCATGGTAAATAAAATCAATGTTTCTGCTAGAGGGAACATGGTTATGTCACGCAAAAAGGGCGTGACTGGGAGCTCGCATTCTGACCGATATTCCAGTATTATTCCTTTACGTATAATAATTTTTGATAAATTCAAAACAATAAATATATTTGATAAATCCAAACAATTCGATTTGAATCGTGCCTTCTGTTCTCTATGAACGACGCTTCCATAGCCGGTCTCTTTCTGCATTCATGACCTTTATTCAGCTTAGGGTCTAAACTCGAAGTCATAAATCATTACCGCTTCCTCTTCCGTTTTCCGTATATTTATATACAGTTACCGCGAATATGTGTGTACAATAAAAACGAATTACTACTGTTGTTACTATTATTTTTATTTAAAAGGGCGATCGCCCCGTTCCCCGATTTCTGCTGGACTGCGTCTTAATCAAGGATCATTATTATTATTGTTATTATTATTTTATTATTTATATAATAATATATATTATTAATTATATATATATAATAATTAATTATATAATAATATGTATTATTAATTATATATATATAATAATTAATTATATTATATTATAAAATTAATTATAAATTAATAATAATAATATATATATAATAATATTTTTATTATATTATATTATTATTATTATTATTACTGCTATTTTTATTTATATTTCTACTCGCAACAGATTATTCCTCCCGAGCTCCGACCGTCCTTAAAAACGAATTCGTACACAAGAGTCTTTGGAAAATTGCGAGAAATTAACCCTTTGTGTCTAGGCTTTTATAATATAAACGTTATCTTGGAACGTAATGTAATAATTTGTATTGATAATGTATATAATAATTTGTGTTGGTGTAATAATTTTAATGGTGCCTCAGAGTCACCACTCCGCGCGAGTGCAAAGGGTTAAATAAATTCATGATCGAGTTCAATCGATATTTATACAATATAGCACACAAGAATCGTTGGGAAACAACGAAAAGTACAAGATATACAGTCCAGTACTTCTTACGCGCGACGAGTATACTCGTCGTGTCACAAAATATTGCCATTTCTCCATGACGAGTATACTCGTCGAACACCGGCTAACTGGTTAAAAGCGTTCAGCGAGATCGGACTTACGGGCCCGTCGATAGTCACGAGCAGTCGTATCACGCTTATGTCACGTTCACGCGACGGCGTAATGGCGTCGTAGACGTTCTAAACTTAGTTATCCCATTGCCTCCAATAAAGGAAAGAAGGTTGTTATCTAGATTCCATATTGCTTCTTACGTGGAACAGTTTCAGATCACGTTCAAAGTCACGCATAATAAAACCGTATTTGGCTGGTGATACGCTGGCAGAACGGTGAAAACAGTCTCTGAATAATTTCGGTACATAGTTCTCTTTCTCTCGTGGAATATCGCAAGATCAGCAAATTTTATTTAATTAAGAATTGGAAACGAGACAACGTTACATCGTGTCTACAAAACCGTGCAAGAAATCTTTTGCGAGTTAAATTTGAAATTAAATTACATCTTCGAAAAGCTATTTTTGTTTGTTTCAACCTTTTATTTTCAATCCTGTAAGAAATCTTTCGCGAGTTAAATTTGAAATTAAATTACATCTTCGAAAAGCTATTTTTGTTTGTTTCAACCTTTTATTTTCAATCCTGTAAGAAATCTTTCGCGAGTTAAATTTGAAATTAAATTACATCTTCGAAAAGCTATTTTTGTTTGTTTCAACCTTTTATTTCCAATCGCGCAAGAAATCTTTTGCGAATTAAATTTGAAATTAAATTACATCTTCGAAAAGCTATTTTTGTTTGTTTCAACCTTTTATTTCCAATCGCGCAAGAAATCTTTTGCGAATTAAATTTGAAATTAAATTACATCTTCGAAAAGCTATTTTTGTTTGTTTCAACCTTTTATTTTCAACATCTTTTGCCGTTCATTATACATTTTACAACGAAGAAAACATCGAAATCTTTTTAGGAGCTGTTTCTAAACAAAAACAAGCTTGCAAGCAACTTATTCCACTCGCATGCAAAGTTTCCCATCGGATTCTACGTGTTTACAAACATTCGGCACAGATGTGCCTGCAGAAGTTGCAAGAAGAACATAAAACATTTCTAGATTCCGTTCGTCCCGCAAGGGACGATCAATTTCGCTTTCTTCGCACACTCGCCTACGAAAGCGTGAGTTTCACGTGAACTTCCGTAATCCAATTACGATCGTTCGAGCATGGTTTCTATTGTGTCGCATGGAGGAGTCGATCAGGAATAAGCGATCCGACCCGGCCCGGTTATATCACCTTCGTTGTCGAGAGAGAAAAAAAAAGAACCGCGCGTAAATTTTCGGTAGATCTGTCCGGTCCAAGCACAGGTAGGCGTGTGTACAGCGGTTACAGATAGATGTCGAGGTCAGCCAGACATTGCGTAACACTCGATGCGACGCGACGCGACACGACCCGACGCGAGGCGACACGACGCGACGCCACGCTGCGGGACGCTACCGTGCGCTAATTACATCAGGTTGGACGTTGGATAACGATAACAGCCGATCTATCGGCAAACACTTGGTCGACTAAAAATCAGTCGACCGACTGATTGGAAGCACGCGTTTATCTGCGTGCTCGTCGACTGATAAATCGTCGTGGATCCATTATCCGTTATCTGATGAAATCTGTTACGTGACAGCCGCTCGTTTATCACTGTTTTCTTGCGTTCGAACACCTCGCGTAAACTCGCGCTGTAACCTCGAAATTTCACGTGTAATCTAAACTCTCTTGTCGAGCACGCATGAGTGAGTCAGCTTGTTAACCGACGAGTGCGCGCGACATTGAGCAAAAAGGAGAGCTATACGGATGCGGCGTTAAGATTAAACACATTACCGTAATCGATGCATCCGAGGAGCTATTATCGTTTGCGATCAAATGATTACCGTTGCGCCACACGGTAATGGTTGCACCATTAACGAACGAGCTTGAAACGACTGAAAAGAAAATGCCTAAATTATCGTTCTTGTCTGGTAGGCCGTTCTTAAATTGTCGGTTTAACATTTCACTTAACGTTTATCATTGTGGATCCTTTCGACGGATCAGATAAGAATTCGTAATGACGCAATGCATATTCCCTCGGGGAGAATGATATATCCAAGCGAGCGGGAAACCGATACGTCACGAATGCCCGCTTGACACAGCTCGTCGCGGAAACATCGTTCGATTCGCTCGAGACACTTTCCGCGATTCCCCAAATTCTAACCTTCCGCGATTCATCTCTCGCGGCTGGTGCGCGCGCACTTATCTCGACGGCTACTCGTTTCTCCGCGTAAGCTTACCGGGACGACGGGAACGAATCGCGTGAAACGAGCGCGATAATAAAAACAGCTGCTGGCAGCGCCGATCGATTTTTCGCAACTGAGCCCGACTTTTTCGGTGCACGATCCCGTCCGCTCGTTCGTGCCGCCCGGTAACCATGGCGACAGCATCAACCAACATCATCCTCGCTCATCATTGGAATGATCTTCCGTGCCATTCGTTCGTTCTTTTCACACATGGGTCATCCTATAGCGTAGAAATGAATGTTAACGAAAAAAATAATTTGGAACTAACGAACTACGAATTCTGTTGTTTACAGACGCATGGTTTAACCCCGAGAGACTCGATCCGAAAGGTAAGAAGAGAACCATCATCCTCGATGTGTCGATCTGTTTCCGTTGTTCCGTCTGGTTTCTTTGTCCCACGTTCGCACCTTGTACGATGTCTGTTGTTTTTGTCCGCTTGCAAACAAAAAAAAGAAAAAACCCCGTCTGCGATTTCCTGTGCAATTTCTTTACGTTTCACGTTTCTTTATTGTCGTATCCTTATCTTGTGTTTATCGTAGCGGTAGAAGTAGTAATATGTATGTTTAGTAGCAATAGCGTGAACCTAAAGATAACGTGTTACGATGTTGTCGAACTACCGGGCAGAGGGGGGAGCGGCACGTGACGTTTCGAAACTGGCCGAGCATATCCCGGCTGTAAAAATAGTCGAACGAATTACCATATCGATCGACGGCTCGGGAGAGGAAACGACATCGAAAGACCGAAAAGTGTGACGCGATCCGCCGCGACTATGGTAAATTCTTCTTAATCGACGCTCTTATTGTGCGTAAAAATAGATAATTTGCGAAGGGAAGATGTACGATTGTTCGAGCCTCGCGGCTCGTTTTTATAGTCGTTGACAATCGGTAACTATAAAAACGAGCCGCTAATAATAAAACATTATGTATTATTATTATTATACAGGGTGTCCCAAGATTATGATAGTTCCGAGAAACGAGGGATTCCCGAGGACATTTGAAGTAATTTTTTCCGTAACGAAAAACGTGGACCTATCGGAGAGCGGTCGGCGCTCTCCGCCCTCGTGGCCATTGTCGCGTCGCGCCGGGCGTACGACGCAACGGCAGTGGTCGCGGGGGCGGGGCGTCGGCCGTGCGCAGTCTCTCATTGGTCAGTGTTTTTCGTTAATAACTCGTAAACGAAGCCGCGGATTGCATTTTCGCTAAGGAAAAAGTTGCTTCAAATGATCTCAGGAGTCCCTCATTTCGTAGAAGTACCATAATTTTGGGACAGCATATAATACTATCCTTGAAATATTCAGTACATTTTCTCGAATTGTTTCTCGGCTTGTAAATAAAAAATTGATAATTTGGGAAGAAGAGATACGATTATTCGAGCCTTGCGGCGGCTCGTTTTTATAGTTGTCGAGAATCGATAACTATGAAACGAGTCGCGATCGAATTCCAAGGATAAACGATATACAATATGTTCTCGTCGAGAATGACACAACAACGTTTTGCACGTCGTCGGAAACGAACCTTCTTTCGGGAGGGTTCGTCACGCGATCACGACTCGTAGCTGGACGATGACGCGAGACTTTTCTCACACGTAATGTCGTTACACGATGAAACAATTGTCGGGGAGATCTTTCGCAATGTCATTCGGAACGTGGTTCGATCCAGTGATTCATTGAGGAACTTGCCAGCGCAGTGTGTACCATGCGTCAACTAGCAGAACACGTTCTCTATTTTGATGATTCAATTTACTAGATGTTTTAATGGGACAAATCGTGGAGGCTCTAGGATTTATTACGCGATGATATATTATATGTATAAATTATATTAATAATTATATTATTATATATTATTATATTATTATAATATTATTATTATATATATTATATAATAATATAATTTTAATATAATATGTATTAATATTTAAAGAATCGAGATGACTGGAAATTTTCATAAAAAAAATCTTGTTTCCAAAATTAGTATACCTTAGTAACTCGGACGTCTGTTTCTTAAAATTAGCATAACTTTAACAGTTGATTATAATTGTCTCAGTTTTCATATGAAACAAATTCTGTGTCCGACACTTCCAGATATTTTCTCAGAGCATTTTCTCAAAGATTAAATTGTTATAAATATTGCGACTTTTGTACAATACATGGATTACGCAATGCTTGGGGACTAATTAAATAATAAACACACGCCTATTAATATATTATTATTATTATTATTATTATTATATTAATAGACACACAATCTAAAATATATTAATTTTTTTTATTCTTTTATTTTCTTTACTTTTGAATAAAAACAATATTCAATATGTCTCAACCAACAAATATAAAGGTAATTATATAAACCAGAGACACGCCAATTTGTCGCCCCGAAGTAACAGACTCCACTAGCCTAATTGGTTTCACTTTAAATCTCCGAATTTTGCCTTTAAAGCAATGCCCCCGAATACAATGATCTAAAACGGCAAATATTTTTGATCTTGAATTTTAAAAGTGTTGCAAATAAATGTATACCAACATTTCCTCGAAATGTAAAATTATAAGCGAATTTAAATTTTCTCCAATTGACGCTCAGATTGTCCACAAAAATGGACAATTTAGAAAAGCAGATACGATTATTCGATCCTTGCGTTTCATTTTTATAGTCACGAATTGTCAACAACGATAAAAAGAACGAGCTACAAGGCTCCGAATAATCGTGTCTTCTCTTCCGAAATTGTCCATTTTTCTGCACAATCTTCGCGTCAGTAAGGGAAACAGTTTTACTGTACTTTGTCGGAACACGGAAGTCGCGCTCGACACCTGAATTCGACGGAATCGGTCAGACGGCGCGCTATAGCCGGCGGCGGCTTCTTTTTCATTCGACCCGGCCGGACACGACGCTCGGGTCCGCTCGGGTTTGTCATTCGATCCGTCGCGGTGACAGTAGCACGGCGCGCCGGCGGTTGCGTAATAGCAGTTCCCGTGCGCGCACGATTTCGAACCGCTTTTCAATCCATTGAATCATAACTCGTTCGCGCGAGCGTCGCTGGCGGCTGACTACCCCGGCGATCGCGGCAGACTCGCTGGACGCGGTTATTTATACCGTATACGTACTGTATGTTCGATGCGCGTCGATGGAATTCGTTCGTTCGTTCGATTCAGCATACGCTCGGACTCTCTCGACGTTCGCATTGTAACGGAACCGGATGATAATGCGAAACGGCACTCCGCACCGCGGCGTTCTTTTCGAACGTTGCTTGAAAAGTAATTTTTCAGATATCCGGTCGGATCGATAATTAATTGTGACGCGTGAACGTTGGAATAGAACAATTGTTCTCGGTTTTTTTGCATTCGAAATTAATCTTCTCGTGGATAATGTTCCGTCTTCTCACGTTCCTTTCTTTTTGCAAATTAAATTAATCCTTTTGCAGGTAAATAATACTTCAGTAATTTCAGGCTTTCGCAAATTAAACTCACTTTTCTGCAAGTCGAGTGAATCGATTCTTAAATGTAATATGAATTTTAATAAAAAAAACAATTACAATGCGAACTTGATTTGCAAAAGGACGAATATAACCTGCAAACGTGTTAATATTATTGTGAAATAATATAAAAGAATATTATAATAATTTATATCAATATTATATTTATATATTATTATATATTATATCATTATTCAATATATTAAAGAAGGTCAGTGCGATTCATCGAATTCTTTTGCAAATATGAATCGATCAATTTTTCCATTGAATTTTTATATCAGGAAATATTTTCGACAAAAATGACGTGTCAAATATAAAACGGTAATTTCTGAAAAATTATCAAGAAAAATAAAAATATACAAATTTCTACTGTAGCCACAGTTTTTTTTGTAAGCGATGCAGACGTTTTCTTTTATTTCGGATTTTTTTTATACTGCAGTCTAGACGTCACTGTTCAACGAACAGCTGTTGTTTAAAGCTTAATAAGAAACCGCGTTTAACTCCTCAAGCCGCGGTCTGTCGTGCACGCGTGCATCAACGACACACATTGCAATTACTAAAATAATCTGTTACCTATACACGTTACAATAAGTTATAGTCATCGTTGCGACTGCTATAATTGTTGAATTTACGTGTACATATTACGCGTTTCGTTAACGTAAATTCGCAGCTTAAAAATTACCGAGACGGTTTTTTATTTATAATTATTATTATTTATAACCTTGACATAACCTATACACGTTAACAATAAGTTATAGTCATCGCTGCGACTGCTATAATTGTTGAATTTACGTGTACATATTACGCGTTTCGTTAACGTAAATTCGCAGCTTAAAAATTACCGAGACGGTTTTTTATTTATAATTATTATTATTTATAACCTTGACATAACCTATACACGTTAACAATAAGTTATAGTCATCGCTGCGACTGCTATAATTGTTGAATTTACGTGTACATATTACGCGTTTCGTTAACGTAAATTCGCTGCTTGAAAATGACCGAGACGGTTTTTTATTTATAATTTCAAATATGCGACATTAAAACTAACAAAATCTCCGCACGTTAATTATCGTCCGAGTTCATTAGAAGACAAATGATTTGCTTCGAATGATCGAAGTTACAAACGCTTCCGTAACAGACGGTTTGAATTGTTAATTTAAGCGTGTTTGTATCGCGTCGCATTGAACGCTTATGTCTGGACTGCGATCATTATGTACGAATGACATGTGCATATTTTTCAAATGCAAGCGGACGTGTAAATTAACCACGTCTAATGGCATTTCTATTTTCGTCTTGCAATGAGTAATTTTCTAATTGGCCAAGCAAACTTGTTTTTAATTTCAATGTCTGCTAAATGATGTATGAGAACGAAGATTTGCATAAATATTCGCAGAGACAAATGAGCCGTTTATTATGAAAGTGGCACAAGTCACTTTACTGTAATGAAAAGTGGTGATTTTTTAATGTTTATACGAAATTATTTATACTGAGAAAGATATCAGTGTCCTGAGATAACAAAAATACAAGTAAATCTTCTCGAAAGTTAGCATCCATATTTTTAAACGTGTTCAAACGCAAACCCTTAAATATTTTTACACTTAAAAACAAAGTGACTTATGCCACTTTCAAAACAAACGGCTCAAATGCAAGTGGACAGTTCGAAGAATTAAGTAACTTTAATTACAAAATCTAGAGCATTGTATTGTACTATGTATTTTTATTATTAGTAATATTATTATAATAATATTATAATAATATTACTAATAATAATGCTATTATTATTAAATATTATTAATAATATTATTAATTATTAAATATTAATATTATTATTATTACTATTAATGATTAAATATTAATATTA